CCTAAATCTATTCAGCCTCCACAAGAGAAGACTGAGAGGGGAGCTGGTAGCTGTCTATAAACTCACCGGGGGGCGGGGGGGGGCAGTGGAAAATAGGTGAGGCTCTGTTCCCTCAGGCACCACCTCAGATAGCAAGGAATAATGGCCACAAATTGATTGAGAGTAGATTCAAGCTTGATATCAGGAGGCATTATTTTATGGTTAGGGCTGCCAGGCTCTAGAATGGGCTCCCAAGGGAGGTGGTGCTCTCCCCTACCTAGGGAGTCTTCAAGAGGAGGTTGGATAGCTATCTGGCTGGGGTATTATGATTCTAGCACTCGTTTCTGCCCAAGGCAGTGGTTTGGACTTGATGATCTGTTCAAGTCCCTTCCGACTCTAGAAACTATGCACCTGTGTGCACCCCCTATGCATCGCCCCTGGGAAATACTAAATTATGGTGCAGTAACAATGGTGCCATAATGGCATGTTATATCATAGAATCTGAGTCATGGTGTTCACCTCTGGAATAAACAGGCGCAACACTATTGTAATCGTATGGAATTTATATCCATTTTACCAGCCTCAAATTTGACCTGATAAGTTTAAAAAGTAATCCCAAGTATTTGCATTGTATTTTTATTAGAGCAGTAGCTTCAAGGAGACTACATAACTAATAAATATAATATGTATTTTAATTTTAAAATAATAAAAAGGCGAAATTCAAAGCAGATTTCACAGCAGTATAAACATGGCCATGTTCCACAGCAGTAGAAGACTTCTACAATGTGATAGATTATAGATTCTATGACTTTAAATTGAGGTATCTTTAGGGGCTAAATTATTCCACCGCTTCCCTGTCCCCCTCCCACAAGTGGCTACGTTAAGGGCATGCCACTAGCTGTGGTCCCCGAGACCTTTCCACCAGTCAAGCATGGGAGGAAAGAATCACAAGGCATGTCCACACAAGCATGCATGGGCCTGTTGCAGCATCTCAAAAATTGAGATGTTGCAAGAAACATGTTGAAAACAAAAACATGTTCCTTGCACTGAATATTTGCAGTGTGGGCTCAAAATTTAATACCTGGATTTCCAGCTATCAAATAAAAGCACCCAGGAGAAAAGCAGCGCAGGGCACGGTTCCCCACTGTGCCCTACAGCAAGCTGGGGCTTGGACCTCCAGAGACACTGTGGCATCCAGCCAGTGTCTCTGTGGTGTCCCCTGCTGCCCTAGCATGCTGCATTCATATGCAGGGCAAGCAGGAGCGGTGCAACGCTGTGACCCGGGTGCTGTCAATGTGTGGGGGTTGTATAGGGGTAGGGGGTTGGTTGGAGGCTGTGGGTCCCCTGCAGGGCCCACAGCCCTCCTCCCCCTGCAGCAACAGTGGGCATGGGGCACTCAGGGCCCACTGCAGCCACAGCCCCTCTGCGGTGTGGCACAGCCCCAGCCACCTTAGACCCAGCACCACCTGTGCCACTTGATGTGGGTCTGGCCAGGTGCGGCATGGCATGGGGCCACACACCTTCAGGCAGCCCCAGGCTGCTCAGGCTGTCACCCGCAGCCCAGTGCTGCTTGCAGGGACCACGTGTTGTGCTGGGCTGGGTCCTGCCTCTGCGAAACAGGACTGGTCTGATGGCGTGCAGGGCTTGTGCAAATAGGACTCAGCCCGGTACAACATGTGGTCCCTGTGAATGGTGCTGGGCGCCGGATAACAGCCTGAGCAGCCCAGGGCTGCCTGAAGGCGCATGGCTCTGTGCTGCGCTGGGCCAGACATGCAACAAGCGGCACAGGTGGCACTGGGTCTGAGGTGGTTGGGGCCATGCCGCTGCTGATGGGGGGGAGGGCTGTAGCACTTAGTGGGGGGGCAGTCTGTGAGCGAAGGGGGTAGGCGCAGCTCTGATTTTTCTATGACAAAACCCCCCAAAAAGTAAATGCCAAAGCATATAGAAATTTAGAATTTCTTTTATTATGATTTTAGAGGCACTGGTAGGCTTCCAAATTGCTTTAAACTTGTAAACATATCAATAAAACACTGCCCAAATGATCCCTCTCTATATAGTGGTGTTTCATTTTAATAGCAGAAGAACACTATTTGCGGTACTATAATAAGAGAATTTGGGTTTCTTATCAAAGAATTTGCATTTTTTAAACAGGGAACACCAGGATCTTTGCTGGTGAGACAAATTGCAAGACTCGGGCAGAAGAGCCTGTCCAAGGCCAGCACTGGGAACCCAGATGGAAGGCAGATGAGGTGGCTGACCTCTTGGCCATTTGGGGCCAAGAGGACCCACTTTGACAGTTCAAAGTGGACGACCACAAGAAGGACATCTTCTGGGCGATAGCTGCCCAGATGGCAGAGTGGAGGCACCCCATCCAGGTCTGGCAGCCATGGGGCTGCATGTCCAAGGGGGTGGATGCTATCACAGGTAGCAGCAGGTATAGGTGACATATAGGGGGCCACAGGGGCAGGCACATGTGCCCCCTGAAATTGGCCCTCACCAGCTGGGGAGTGGGGAGTGCCAGCCCTTTCCCTGATGCCTGCTTGCTCTTAAGGATTCATTTATCCATTCTCCAGATTTCCAAAGTGGCTCCCACCCCAGCACCTTTTCTTTATATCTGCTCCTAACACCCTACCCTCACATGACCAGCTATTCTCCTGACACCAATGGCTTGGTCACCCCCTCTTCTCTTCATATAGCTGGATAAGAGCCTCATGATATATGCCTTCAGTTTAAATCCTTGCGCCGCCAGGTGTACCTGAAAATCTTTGGGTACACCAACCATCATGCTAATAAGCAATACATAATAGTAACTGGTAATATTTTATATTTATACATTGTTTTTCACCACTACAGTGCACAAAGCACTTCATAAAATTATGTAATAAAGAACCAGATAAATGGGAAATACAGGTACCTGCAGAGTTGAAGCCTGCAGTTAGACTCTACAGCAGTGGTTTTCAACCTGTGGTCCACAGACCCCGGGGGTCCATAGACTGTTTAAGGGGCCCACGAAAGATGACTATAATCAAAAGTACATGAATACCCACATTTACAATTCAAAGAGGTCTAAGCCTCCCTTTCAAATGTTTGCAAATGAAATAGGTTGAAACCCACTGCTCTACTGCAAAAATTTAAGAGGCTGAAACAGAAGCCAGAGAAAAAGCTGAAGAATAAAGGTCAATGCTACCAGTTGGAGCTTGCCATACCTTTCTTGTAAAAGTGGCCAATTTTCTGTCACGAATTTCCATATTATACGTAGCCCAGTATCAGTAGCTGCCAAGTTGTAAATGAGAAATATCGTATTATTAGAAGAAAATAATGATCCGTTGACACCAGACTGCATGTATCTGTTGAAAAATGTTAAAAAGTGTATCTTTAAAAAAATTAAAACAGCATTTGCAGCCAAAACAGTACTTTTAAATAAGTTATCAATCTTCCATGTTTTCACGGAGTTTCCAATTATCAGCATGCAAACATAGCAGTGCATAGAGTGATACTTACTGCATCTTTGCAGTAGTGAGGGAAAAAGGGCCAAATTATTTCCTTCACAGAGGAAAACCCAAGGAAAGGTATAGTGCCTCTGTACCTTTCCCCCAATCACTCTCCCCTAGCATACCTGTTCTGTCTCCTCATATGCCCCTATTATGTCAAAAGTGACAGCTGGCACAAGAAGCTGTTATGCTGCCTTCACATGCTTTATAGCAATGGAATTTATTCTTATACAACAGGGATGCCCCGCAGTGGCAAACTGCCAAAAATGGCCTAACAGGAGTAACTGTACATGACAGATCAGAAAATCCAGTTTCAGTGGCTTTTTATACATACGCTGAGCATGTTACATTTAAAGTTACTGGGCACATCGACACATGTATTTACTGTAGCCCAAATTTACTCTGGTGCAAGCTACTCCAAAGTAAGGGTTTTTGAGCAGGCATTTACACATGCAGAGACTAGGTAAAAAATATGCACCAAGTTCCCTGCAGCCCTACAATGGGCCTCTGTTCCCATTGGGTTGGGAGCTCCAGGCTCCCCCTGGGTGCTAGTCTAGAGGCTGACAGGCAGCACCAGGCCAGGAGACAGTTGTCTCCTGGCCCTAGAGGCCTGCTTGCTGCTGGGGCAGGGACAATGTCCCCCTGCTCTGCCAGCAGGGAGCTCCTGGCCCTGGCTCCCTGATCAGGGTCACAGGGTTTGGAAGGAGCTGCAGGGGAGGAGCAGGTCCCAGCCCCTTGCCCTGATCTGCTGGTGGGGCAGCTAGCAGCTAGGTGGGACTGGCTGGGGACTGTCCCAGTCAGGAGCAGGTCCCAGACAACTCCAAGCAGGGCGGAGAACTGTTCCCATGCAGGGAGCTCCCAGTTCCTGCTCCACAACTGCAACTCCAATCACCAAGTGGGGGCTGGGCAGCTTGTTTCCAGCCCCTGCTCTGCAATCAGGGAGTGGGGGCTGGAAGCTCCCTTGTGCCAGGGCAGGGGGATATTGTCCTGCCAGCAGAGAGCTCCCACCACTGGCTCCATGACCACAGGGCTGCTGCTGAGAGATCGTTATCTCCCAGTCTGAGCTCCACCATTGCAGGGCTTGGACTGGGACACCCTCATCTCCCAGCCTAAGCCCCTCAACCGTGGAGCTCAGGCTGGGAGATAAGGATCTCCCAGGCTCCTGGTTGTGACCTTGGAGCAGGGAATTTGGAGCTCCCTGCTGACAGGGCAGGGGGACACAGTCCTTGCCCAGGCTCCTATGGTGGAGCCCACCCAGGCAGCAGGCAGCTCCTGGTGGCAGGGGGTTATGTCCTGCCCCCTGATAGATGGCTGACCAGAAGCAGATTTTGCTCCAGATCAGAAGTCTATAGGAGTTCTACAACGTCATTATTAATTCCAAGTAAATTTGCTACTTGCATTTGCAGATGGCAAGTTTACTCAGCAGTAGGGAGATTTACTGTGAAGTAAGCATGTGCACGTGTAGATGCACATGCTTACTTCACAGTAAACTATGCTAATGCAAAGTTAAGCATCTCATGTAGATGCACCCACTGAGAGTTATTAACTGACATTTTGAAGAGTAAGACTGCACTTCAAGTGATGAATAATTTACTGAATTACTGTATATACTTAAATAGAAGATGACCCTGAATGTAAGACAAACTCCAATAATTAGATTCTACATATGGAACAATTATAGATTTGTTATAATTTTCC